TTCCTCTTCATGTTATCCAGCATGAATCTTAGACTCTCTTCAGATTTTTTAATCCTTTTTTCTGCTTACTCTTCTATCTTAGCAGTATTGAGAGATTTATCTTCAGCTTGCAGGTTCTGGCTTCCATCTCTTCCATTCTGCTCCTTTGCCCTTCCATTGTATTTTCTATTTCTGATATTTTATTATTAATCATCTGGGCTTCTTTTTGCAGGTTTTGGATTGTTTTCAAAGCTGTATCTATCTTGTTTGATTGCTCCTGTAGCACTTTTCCTGAATTCTTCCTTATTTTCCTCCACCTCTTTTTAGAGCATTGGAATTTGTTTCCATATTATTCTTCTGAGTTCCTTCTCAGGCAAATCCAGAGCCTACTCTTCTACTGGAAAGTCTGTGTCTGCTTCCATCTCATTTGTCTCTGTTACTTTTTTTGGTTTTGGACATGTGTTGATATCTTTAATTGTGTTTTCTTGGACATTTTCAACAGTTATGTGAGTTTTTAATGCTTAAATGGGTGTATGTGGCTTTGTTGTTAAGCTTGCTGAGCATCTCCTCGTGGATATGATCTGGAGATAGGCTTCCCTTTTCACGTGTAATGCCTGGCAGCTAGTTTTGGCTTTTGTCCAGATGGTGGGGTACTACAGGGTATGTTTGTAGCTTTGCTATATGGGCACAGTTACTGTCTCTTTTTGGGTAAGGTAGGGGGAGAAAGCTCCAACACCTGGGAGAAGAGTGAGACCAAAAGGACCAAAGACAGAAACAATATAAAAGCAGAGACAGAAACCACCAATCAAAAACAAAAATAAAATTGTGATTGACACTAGGTAGCGTAGTGTTACAAATCGGGTTGCAAACCTCAAGGTCAGCAGTTCGAAACTACCAGCTGTTCTGCAGGAGAAAGATGAGGCTTTCTGTTCCCGTGAAGATTTACAGCATCAGAAACCCTGTACAGGGTCACTATGGGTTGGAACTGACTCCACAGACGTAACCACCACCACCACTGGCCTTTGCTGTGCAAAGAGTCCCACCTAAGTAAACTATGGGGCAGGTTCCCAGGGTCAAAACTTCATAAGAAGCAGCCTGCGAGTTTCCTCTCTGTGCTGTTGGAAAACTGTGGGTGCAATGCTGGAACCTTTTGGGGGTGTGTCCCTGCTTGCCTGAAGTCATCTGGGCTATGCAGTGAGGGCTCAGTTGGGGTGAAGAGGAGAGATACATGAAAAATGATAAGTGAAAGATGAAAAATCGGTCACACCTCTCCTTTCAGATATGCTGCTCTGCAGCATCTAGTACTGGGTTGCTGCCTCCAGCTTGGCTGTGGCCCTGCCCTCCAATCTGAGGACTTCTGGCTGCTGGCCACTGCATCTGGATCAATTCAGAAGTATCCATATTTTGCTTCCACAAGCAGATTTCTTGTCAATAATCAAGGGAAACTGGCACCCAACGAGATGGATTGGCCAAGTGCCAGCATTGATGGATTCAAACGTGGCAATGGTAGTGAGGTTGGCCCAAGATCGGGCATTGTTTCATTCTGCTGTGCATAAGGTCACTATGGGTCGGTACCAACTCAATGACACCTGACAACAACAACCATCATTTTTTGATCATATGCTACCTCTTCAAGTAGTTGAGTATCAGACAGTTGTTTTTGGTACAGTGGCTCTGTGTATTCCTTTCATCTTCTTTTGATGCTTCATCATTCATTATTTTGCCCTTGTTGCTAAATGTTGTCGAGTCATTTCAAACTCATCACAGCCCTATATAGGGTTTCTAAGGAGCAGCTGGTGGGTATAAATTGCCAGCCTTTTGGTTTGCAGTCCAGTGCCGATCCTACAGCACCACACCAGAAGTCCTATCAAGATTGCAACCCAAGGCTTGAATAATGAAGGGGAGTAGTGATAGAAAAAGCGTTAGAGATGACTTGGCACCATAGCCAAGCCGTGTGATTTAGATGGTCTGCAGGTAGTGGTAAGCCTTTGAAGGACTTTGCAAAGATGAAATGTGCTCAGAGCTTGGGGAAAATTAAGGTAAGAGAGAGAGGTCAATTTGGGATAGCATGAATATAGGACATCGGTGTACCATTTAGGTGAAGCCCTAGTAAGAAATGTAAGAAATGCAGAGCTAGTGTTTGTGAGATAAAGAACATAGGCCTTGGATAAGATGCTCTGATAGGCATAGAGGCGTCCCTCTCACTTATCACAGTCCTTCTAGGAGTAGCTCCTCAGACAAGAAAACCCTGGACTCAATCATGCAGGGTGAATTGAACTCACCGAGAGTGTGAGCTTACCTTAGATGTGAACGCATTGTCCGTGCACCTAAAACTGCGTCACAGGGTACAGCATGCATTTTAGCAGTTTTCCATTCAAAGTTGGGATAGCACCAGAACAACATTTTGTAAAAGTCATTAAATTTTGAAGTAATTTCTGTTTGTATTTGAATGTCAAAGAAAACAATAAAAATAGAAGCATAGCTGCATCTATCCTCACAGGTCCTACTGTGTTTGAACAGTTGGTGACCTGTTAGTCTTCGCAGATAGAATTTGGAGAGGACATTTGCTTTCCTCTGGTGTGGTGCTGTAGGATAAGGTTGGTTTGAACCATAAGGTCGGTGGTTCAAACTTACCAGCTGCTCCCTGGAATCCCAATACAGTGTTGTTGTGAGTTAGGAGTCCTGGTGTGGCACTGTGGGTTAATGCGCTGTACTGCAAAGTCGGTTTGAACCTCAAGGTTGGCAGTTCAAGCTCACCAGCTGCTCCTCAGCAACCCTATACCTGGTTGCTGTGGGTTGGAACTGACTCGATGGCACTTAACAACATCAACAACATGAGTTAGAAATGACTCAATGGTACCTAACAATGACATCCCTTCTGTGTCAAAGGAGGCCTGGTAGTGTTGTGCTTATACATTGGGCAGCTAACCACAAGATCAGCAGTTCAAATCTATCAGCTGCTCTGCGGGAGAAAGATGAGGCTTTCTGTTTCTGTAAAGATTTATAGCCACAGAAACCCTATACAGGGTCGCAGTGAGACGGGACCAACTCAGTGGCACTTAGCAACAACTACAATCTCTTCTATAATAAGTCTCCATGAATGAGCTGTTTTCCTTTGTTTTATTATTAAATGCAACATTAAAACTCTGGTGCTCTGTAACAGTTGTTAAAATGAGGTTCTGTCTTTTGTGATTTTATATATGATTTGGCGTAAGTTATATGTATAGTCTCATAAACCTAAATTTTTTTTAAGCAGCCATCAAATTGACGTTTAAAAGCATCTGAACTATTGTATGTTGATTTCTAGGCAATGCTTATAATCCAGAGGAGCGTGTTGTTTGTGCTGGCTATGACAACGGAGACATTAAACTCTTTGATCTCAGAAATATGTCATTGCGGTGGGAGACAAACATAAAAAATGGGGTAATGTACCTTCTGATGCATTTTAGTTTTTCCGAGCATGTTTTCGCCCTCCTCTAAACTTCTAGAAGAGTAAAGTGCCTCAGCCAACCATCTCAGTACAATCCTCTGAGCACTTTGGGGTCATGGACCCCTTTGAGAATCTAATGAAAATCGTGGATCCTCTCTGCGTGAACACATACTCAGATGTGGTGTGTACAATGCCAACCCCACAGGTCATCTATGGAGCCTTTGGACAATGCAGTAGGACGATGTCGAAGCCAAAGTTAATGCTGGAATGCCTGAAATAGTGATAGCCTCCCCAAGTCCAGTCTGATTTTTCTTTCCTGAGCTGTGCATCTTTTGTAGTTGTTATATACCATTAAGTTGGTTCCAACTCATAGTGACTCTATATAGGGTTTCCAAGGAGTGGCTCGTGAGCTTGAACCATTGACCTTGCAGTTCAAACTGATTTTGCAGTACTCCTTTAATGAATGTAATTTTCTTCTTTTGCTAAAAGTTAGACATGACTTAACTGAAGGAGCCGGGGGAGTGGAGGGGTTTGTGTTAATTAAGTACTTGGCTGCTAGCCAAAAAGGTAAGGGATTTGAATCCACCAGTCACTAAAAGGGGGAATCTTTATGGCAATGTGCTTGTTGTTGTTAAGTACCGTCATAGTGACCCGGTATAGGGTTTCCGAGGAGCAGCTGGTGGATTTGAACTGCCAGTCTTGAGCTTCACAGTCCTGTATGTATCCTACAGTACCACACCAGGAGTCCTTTATAAAGGTTATTGCTGTTTTTAAGTGCCATCTTCTGATTCATAGTGACCCTGTCTAAGGTTTCCGAGACGAACGACTGGTGGGTTTGAACCTCCAACCGTGCAGTTCAAAGCAACCTTGCAGTCTACTGCGTTATCCACAGCACCACACCATAAAGATTACAGCCTTAAAAATCCTGCTATGAGGAATCAACTTGATGATTTATAGGTTTGACTTAAGTGTATTAAATAACGCAAAAAAGCTCACCCTAATCCTTATTAACATGGATGTTAGGAGGAGTCCTGGTGTGGTGCTGTGTCGTTCAAATCTAACAGCCGCACCTTGGAAACCCTGTACAGGTGCACTATGAGTCAGAACCAATTTCACAGCACTCAGCAACAACAGCCAGATGAAAGGATTCCTGAAGTCTCTGGAGGGTAAGCACTAGACTGGTAGCCACAAGTGTATACTTCAAATCCACCAGCCGCTGCTTGGGAGAAAGACGAGGCTTTTTGCTCCCACAAAGATTTACAGCCTTAGAAACCCTATACAGGCTTACTCTGAGTCATAACGGACTTGAGAGCAGTGGGATAACCAAATGAAGGGAAATTGCATCACATCACACAATGGAGGACAGTCACACACACACACTATTGTGAACCATGGGCTAGCCAAGTTGACACTTATTTCTAGGGACACAGTCCACGTAGGAAAGAAAAGAAAAGCCCTGCGCAGTGTTACATGGAGCGTCAGGCCTGCTTTTCCTTGAACAGTAGGTCTAATCTGAGACCTATCCCTGCACCTGTAAAGCTGAGGCCTCGGTATCCTAAATCAGCTGTGCTGTGCCCATTCACTCGGCTGTCAGAGGGCCTTGGGGAGTAGAGCAGCTGCACCAGAAAGCCCGGCCAGACGCGGCAGGCCCCGTCAATAGTCAGCTGTGCCTCGTGGGGATGGGCTTTCCTTTTGGGGTGACGAAAATGTTTTGGTACTGCTTAAGAGGTATTGGTTGCACAACATGGAGCATGTACTAGTGTCACTAAATTGTTCACTTTAAAAAGCTCATTTTATGTTATATGAATTTCACCATAGTGAATTTTTTTAATGCTAAAGTAATTATGGAGTCCTGGTGTGGGACTGTGGGATAAAGCACTGGACCACAAGGTCAGTTTAAACCACAAAGTTGGTGGTTTAAGCTCATCAGCGGCTCCTTGGAAACCCTGTTCAGGGTTGCTATGAGTTGGAACCAACTCGACAACACTTAATAACTTTACAGCGAAAGTAAAAATAATGTCAAATATTAAGTTATAATGATCAATGCTTGACATTTTGAATACAACTCAAATGGACATGGCATTAACAACCCAAAATGTGTTTTGTTGATCTTATTAGCCAGGAAAAATCATTTTTTGTGAGTAAAAGTACTTGTAATACTGATTCAGACTATAAAATGATTGGCTGCTTTCACAGGCTGTGGTACATTTCAAGCTGTTTTACTTAATTATGGGAGTCCTGGGGTAGTGCTGTAAGATTAACACGGAGCTGCTCACCACAGGGTCAGAGTTTCAAACTCACCAACCGCTCCTCAGATACCCAACGTGGGGTCACTATTGAGTCAAAACCAGCTCATCAACACTTAGTTATAAGAATAATGATGTTGAGACTATCGATAAGTAATAAGTAAAAATTCTCTCTTCAGGTGTGCAGTGTGGAGTTTGACAGAAAAGATATAAGTATGAATAAGTTAGTAGCTACATCTCTGGAAGGAAAGTTCCATGTTTTTGACATGAGAACACAGCATCCAACCAAAGGTTTTGCCTCGGTTTCAGAAAAGGTAAGCACGGGGGAAGTGTCTGTCTATGAAGAAGAATGATGACTTGGTTTCAGACTAAGAATTAGTCAGAGAGGGTGCTTTCCAGGTCTTCATGTGAAGGAAGCTATTTTTGATATATTCTAGTGGGATCTTGACAAGTTTTTTTGTGCAAAGAGCACTTTCCCAAAGTTAACCAATTCTAGACTTCTTGATAATAGACCTCAGTTGGCGGGGGTCTTGTGGCATAGGAACAATCACAAGAAAACTAGCTAAGTTTTGGAATTTCATCAATAAAACCCAGCTTGGTATTTTCTGATAAATGTTGTTAAGTGACAATACTTATATTAATATCCATTTGTATACCTTTTAAGGTTCTGGAATAGCATTGTAGTATAAACAGTGGATTGCTATCCACAAGGTTGGTGGTTCGAACCCACAGCACATAACAGCGTGCACTTTTCAAAATATACCAACATAGATGCGTCATTTGATCACATTTTACTTAGTATTCCTGTGTGGACTTCTGGTATGGCGCTGTAGGATCAGCATTGGACTGCGAACCACAAGCTGCTCCTTAGAAACCTGGTACAATGTTGCTATGAGTCAGCACTGACTCAGGCAGCACTTAACAACAAGGATTGATTTACTGGTTGTTGTTGAAGTGCTAACAAACTGTTAACCTTCCTCCAGTTGCAGTTTTTGTATCTTTTGGTTTAATATGACTAATAAAGACCCTGGCTTATTCCAACTATAAACGCTGGTTTTCAAACCTCATGGGTCCTTATTTTGCAGACTAGATAAGTCAGATAGCATTGAATGGAGGATAAGGTTCTGGGAACTTGAAATGAAAATTTAGTCAATGTTTTTATTTTTCCTTAGGAAGAGCTATCTGTTTTTGTTTGGTGAATGTTTTCTTTTCCCTCAGAATGAGCTAGGCATATGTAGATGTGTATAATCTAGAATCATAATTTACATGGTGCTATAAACTTAAATGGAGTCCTGGTGTCGCACTGCGGGTTAATCCTCCAGACTGTAAAGCCATTTGAACTGCAAGGTCGGTGTGTCATACTCACTAACTGTACCTTGGAAACCCTATAAAGGTCTCTATGGGTCGGAACTGCCTTGATAGCACTTAACAACAACAACAGCATAAACTTAAATGGACTTTTAATCTGATAACATCTTTTTAAAATACTCAGTAATGTTTCTTAAAACGATAAAGAAAACTGATGGTTTTTTCTAATTTCTGTTTCATTCTATGAATCTCTGTATCCATCATCAGTAAATGTGTCAAAACGTAACCATAATTACAGTCGTTGAAATTCAAGTAGTAAAAAATGTTCATTTGCAGGGTTTCTGTCTTAGGGCAATCTTTATTTATCATTGAAATGTGTAAACCAGCTGTGTGTCCCTGGCCCTGTAGGCTCATAAATCCACCGTGTGGCAGGTCCGACACCTGCCGCAGAACAGAGAGCTGTTTCTGACTGCTGGAGGCACCGGCGGCCTTCACCTCTGGAAGTAGTAAGTCTCTCATGCTCCCTTTTAGGTTAATTGTGGGCGTAATGTAGGATTGGGGTGAATTTTTTGTTATGTGTCATTTTTGCCTCCTTTGACTTAGTTCATCTTGATCTGATTTTAAATCTCGTGTCTTACATAACGTGTTTTCTAAGCATTTTATTTTATTTTTAACTAATGTATTGGTTTTAAACTTAGTAAACTTTAACCTTCTTTTGATACACTAACTATATTTGTCATTTTAATGGCGTCTTCAGTATATTAGTGTAGCTAGGCCTGGTGGCACAGTGATCAAGCACTCAGCTGCTAACCAGAATGTTGGTGGGTCAATTCCATCAGCTACCTGCTCCCATAAAGATGATAATTATAGCCTAGGAAAGAAACCCTGTGGGGCATTTCACTTTGTCACAGAGGGTTCCTCTGAGTCCAAATGGACTCGATGGCACATAGCAGAAACAAGAACAGTTCATAGCACAGACTTGAAACCAGAGTTTGCGCTACTTTGTAAAAACTATACAAATTGTGACCAAAGAATTTTGCCAAGTATTACCTTCTAATCATCTTTTGGGCTCCTGGTGTGGTGCTGTAGGATCAGCACTGGACCACGAAGCACAGGGTTGGCAGTTTAAACCCACCAGCTGCTCCTCATAAACCCTATACAGGGTGGCTGTGAATCGGAATCGGCTCCAAGGCACTTAACAACAACAGTCATCTTTTGGGGAGTGTGCAGTGGTTGTGCAGGATAAGCACTGAACTATGAACCACAAGGTCAGTGGTTCAAGCTCCACAGGATGAAGATGAGGCTTTCTGCTCCCACAAAGATTTACAGTCTCAGAAACCCTATACAGGGTTACAGTGAGTCAGAACTGACTCGATGGCACTAAACAACAACAATCATTTCTAGAAGATAGGAAAACAGAGTTTGAATTTTTATATCCTGATCATTCACTTGCTCACATTCAGAAAACAGTCCAAGAAATCCTGGAAAAGCTTTGTCTTGGAATTTAAGGTTTGTAGCCTCCAGGCCAGTTAGTGAGAGCTGTGACCAGGCAGTGTGCTCCTGAATCCCAAAGGCATGAGGGTGCAGAGAGAAGTTCAGTTCCCCTCTTAAAAGGCTGATAAAAACGGAGAGTTAACATTTAAAAACGATAACAGATCAACCTAGAATTTTTGTGTTAAAAGAGAAAATACATACATAACCTGGGATAATGTTAAAATACTCTAGTCCATTTCCTATGAGATGTTTTGGAGATGGATTGAGGGTGAAACGGTGTTTTTATTTGTGGGGGGAAAAAAACCTGGACATTAAGATTCCTTAAGTATTTATCCGTTCCAGTAATCACCTAAGAAATAGAAAATAAAACGGTGAATGCTAAGATGTAGCCCTTGGTACTACTTTGGTCTTGTGTTTCAGTGAGTACCCTATTCAGCGGACCAAGAAAGACTCTGAAGGTGTGGAGATGGGCGTCGCGGGCTCTGTTAGCCTCCTGCAGAATGTGACATTGTCTACCCAGCCCATTTCAAGTTTGGATTGGAGCCCAGACAAAAGGGGCCTCTGTGTCTGTAGTTCTTTTGACCAAATGGTGAGAGTACTGATTGTTACAAAACTTCACAAAATGTGATCAAGACTTGGGACTTGAGGCCTTCTAGAAGAAGGTATGTTCTGGAAACCCCTGACTTGAACAGAATTGGATTTGGACTGAAAAAGGCCCAGACGCACTCAGGCCAGTCTCTCTCCCTGGGCGTCACAGTGACACGCCTCAACTCAGGTTTGCTGCTGTGCGTGGGGCACCACTCTCCAGAACCAGCTCTCCTGGCTCCCCTGTTGCCGTATTTTTACCCTGTTATGCATCTCCAGAGTTCCATATTTTATTGCACCTCTCAGTGTTTACTGTGTTGTGATAAGGATCATTAAATTTGTTTAAAAGAGATTGCCTTGATAAAATGACTGTGAATTTACCTTTCAGGAGATTTCAGGGTCAGGAAGTGCATGTACAGAAAATTATGAAATTTCAAAGTAGCACTGTCAGGTGAGACTTAGATGACAGTTTTCAGTAGTATAATTCCAAAACGAAATGCCATGATTTACAGCAACCTCTTTTTCCTTTAAAATACAAGGAATTGGGTTAGTGAGGCTTTCAGTTGTTGACTGTTAAGTAATACTTTTGAGATATACAGTATAGTGGGATTTTGTAGCCTTATTTTGTCAAGCTTTTTAAAAATATATATTTTATGAATAAACTGTTCTGAAATCTGAGAAAGCTTTGACTCTGTTAACAGGCCTGATAAAGCCAACACTCCCCTTTCTCGTTGCTTTTTCATATATGAGTACCAGTTAATTCTGATTATTTCTTTAATGTTTACCTTGTCTTTGGCTAAGCCTTCAGGAGAGTCACACCTTCACTAAGCCTACCCACCTCTGCTCCAGAGATGCAATCAGTTTGGGTCCATTGGATTCTGACTCATAGAAACCTCATGTATGTCATTCAAACCGGGCTTTAGTGGCTGAATTTCTGGATGTAGTTTGCCAGGCCTTTCTTCTGAGGTGCCTCTGGGTAGACTCAAACCTTGCTACCTAAAACATTCATAATAGGTGAAATTCATGTGGTTTCAGAGATTCATGTAGAGTTACTTATTTGGAATATTAGGTTCAAGAAAATTATCTTTTTTTTTTTTTTTCAATTGTGAATTGAGAGTAGGTTTACAGATAAGATCATCCATTTTACTTTCAACAATCAACAAATTATACACTTTGTTTCATCTTAATGATTGCAATCCCCTCCATGCTATAACAGTTGTCCTGCTTCCTCCCTATGGCTACCCATGTACAAATAGCCTCTTTCTGATACTTTTGTGAGACATACATGTTTATATATCCCACTCTTCCTTCCTCACCCATTCAAACTATGTCTGTGTCTATGTATCTACACACAGAACACTGTTGTTCCAGAGTTGTGTATAGATCACTACTTACCTCTGTCCCCTTTAGCCCTGTGTCTTTGCTTCACCTGTCTTCATCATTCTTCTGCCAGCATCCTTCTTGTATATCTCCCGAACCCTTTCTTGTTAACCTGAGTTAACAAACCAGTGAACTATTCTCCCTTCCCTCCCACCCTTGGTAACTGCCAAAGAATGTTTCCTTTAGTTTGAAAACCTTGAATTCTTACAATAGTTTCATGCTATAATTGCCCTTTTCTGAATGTCTAATTTCATTCAGGATGTCCTCCAGGTTCCTCCATGGTTTCACAGATTCATCATTATCCTTCCGTGTTGCATCGTATTCCATTGTGTGTAAGTACCAAAGTGTGTTTATCCGTTATTCCATTGATGGACATTTATGCTATCTCCATCTTTTTGCTACTGTGAATAAAGCTGCAGTGACTATCAGTGTGCATATATTTACTCATTATCTGGCTTGTATTTCTTGTGGATATATACCAAGTAGAGGAATTGATGGGTCAGAATGTATTTCTGTTTCCAACTTTCTGAGGAAGCACCATACTATTTTCCACAGTGGTTGAACCGTTTTACAATCTGTAGGAGGATCCCAGTCTGTCCATACCCTTGCCAGCATTTGTTGTTTTCTGTTTTTGTTTTTGTTTTCTGTTTTCTTTGCATAGTCCTGGTGTGGCGCTGTGGTTTAGTGCAATGGACTGCAAAGTCGGTTTGAACTGCAAGATCGGCAGTTCAGGCTCACCAGTTGCTCTTCGGAAGCCCTATATGGGGTTGCTATGGGTTGGAACCAACTCAAAAGCACTTGACAACAACAACAACAAATGGCTAATATGTGAAGTCCTGGTGTGGTGCTGTGGGTTAATGTGCTGGACTGCAAGATCAGTTTGAACCACAGGTAGGCGGTTCAAGCTCATCCACCTCTCCTAAGAAACCTATACAGGGTCACTATGAATTGGAACCGACTGGATGGCACTTAACAACAACAGTGACTAATATATGGATTCCTGGTGTGGCGCTGTAGGATCAGCTCTGGACTGTGAACTACAAGGTCGGCAGTCCAAGACCACCAGCTGCTCCTCGGAAACCCTGTACAGCGTAGCCATGAGTCAGAACCGACTCGACAGCACTTAACAACAACAGTAATGGCTAATGATCGTGAACATTTCTTTCTGTTTGTTGTTGGCTGCTTGAATGTCTTCTTTGGTGAAGTGTCTGTTCATATCCTGTACCCATTTTTTAACTGAGTTATTTGTGTTTTTCTCACAGAGGAATTATAGTTAAGAAAATGGACTTAAAATAACGATTTCCAAAACTTACTATAGAACAATGTTTCGAACATTGTTAATGGAAGTAAAAGATTAAGTTGAACTTAAAATCTATCCCTGCTGTGTATGGGTCTGTTTGATTTTTTTCCAATTTGCAAAGAAAAACGGAAAGCCAACCCTGTACAAAAATACGTCAAAATCTCCTACTAATAAGTCTTAAATTTTATTTTAGGGCAATTTATTTTTATTCAGGTATAGCATTTCCTATCCTGAAGTACAATTCAAGGACATATGAGTAAAACGTAAATGGAGTTCTCTGTCTCCAAACTCAACAGAAGTTTGTGAAGAAGGTAAAACAATATATTTCTGATTCACTGTGTACTGGCAGCTTCATAAATACTTTTGATAGTGACCTGTTGTTATTGTTGTTGCTATATGCCGTGGAGTCGGTTCCGACTCATAGCGACCCTGTACAGGGTTTCCGAGGTTATAAATCTTTACGAGAGCAGAGAGCCTTATCTTTCTCCCATGGAACAGCTGGTGTAGGACCAAAGAGAAGAATCCATTTTGTGTATAAGCTTTAGCACGTCCTCTATCTCCAAGAAAATGATATATGTATAAATAGCCAGGCAGCTCAAGGCCAGATGCCAGATGTTTTCATTTGCCCTAGCCTAAGAACAAAGACCACCAGTCCTGACCAATTAAACTGTAACATCTCATAGTTTGCCAATTGTTAACCAATCCAAAAATTGTAAAGCTGAGAAACCCGAGCTTGTTTGAAAACTCTATAAAAACCCCGCAGACAAAGGGTTCGGGGCTCTATCCCTAATCCACTGCGTTGGATGCGGGTGGAGTCCGAGCTTGAGCTTGAATAAACAACCCTTGTGCACTTGTATCGGTGACGGCTCCTTGGTGGTGTTTGGGGACCCTGAATTCTGGGCATAACACTGGTAGTTTCGAACTTCTGATCGTGAGATTAGCAGCCCAATTCGTAACCACTACAGCTACCAGAGTTCCTTGTTAGTGACTTAAGTGGATATGTATTATGTTTTCACAAGAAAAATAATTTGTTTTTGTTAATGTCTGAGGACTACCCATCACACATACACAAGCATTTCAGCTTACTTAAGCAGCCATGAGAACAGTCAAAAAAGTTTCCAGGAAACACAGAGGACTTCGAGAGCTATAAAACTCAGCTATACCCAAGCCACCAGCAATTCTGCCTTATAACTTTTAGTAAATTGTCTTTCCCCGGGAGAGAAGGTGCTCTCTCTTGAGGGCTGTGGATTCAGGAACCCACACCTGTGTTCATCGCAGGCCCAGTGGTGCTCTGTCCCCTTGTGGGAAATGTGGGCATTGCAGGCCTTCCCTCTCAGAAGAAAGGAATTCGTGCTTTGCAAGCGCAGCTGGAAAGATTGTCACTGTTGAATTCCCAGGAGGCATGTAAGTCAAACTGGACCTTGAGAAAGCCATATCTTACGGAAGTTTATTCCCAGATGTGAGTGGTTTTATGGAAAGAAAAACATATGATAACTGTATAGCACAGCTGTGCTGGCTTTTATTGATTGGAAGTTTGTAACTTTAGTATAACGACCTCACCAGCCACAACTTAGAAATCCTATACAAAGTCACTGTGAGTTGGAACCTCCTCGATTGTACTTAGCAGTCTTACTTTTAGTGCACCATAAAAGCTGACCTAGATAGAAGGAAACGTGGGGCTTTTTGTAAAGTGTAGAATGATTTGGTAAATAGTAACAGGGGGACTTAGACGTTCTTGAAAAAAATAAATTAAAAGATAACGGGATTTTCCCACCAACTTTTTGAAGCTTCCTCATGTCCTCACATCATTTTTGAAGATGCCTCCACATCCCACCACCAGTTTATTCTGTAAGTTCTGCTTTCGATATAAAGTATTTCTCAAACTATGGATTTACTTACACTATCACTTCACTCTACAAAGATTCTGGAATCTCTCCCCATTTTCCTTGCTCTAGATTTGCATGTAATACAGTCATTCTTTTTTTTTTTTTTTAGATTAAAAGTCTTAAGATTTTCTAGCTCTGTTTTTTTTTAAGGTTTTTATTGTGGATTGAGTGAAAGTTTACAGGGCACATCATCAGTTTCACATTCAACCATTCATATGACTTGTTTCATTACATTGATTATAATCCC